AAATGCCTAAGCCAGAGAGGAAACTATAAAGACAAACAGAATGGCACTTCCACTTGAAGTGATATTGAGGTACACGTTATAACAGGCCCTTAACTCTGATCCACAGACCTGAAAACTCATAAGACTGAAAAATGAGCATAAAATTATAGAAGATGATCAATGAATAATGCAAACCGTCCACTGATGGCACCAGCTTTGAAGGAGAACATTGTCTAGATAGCTGTTTGAACGTCTTCCCCACATTTTCACTTTATCTTCCTTTCTTGGTCATTTTTTAACCTCTTAAAATCTTAAAAGTGTCCATGAGGCATCCTCCTCACTGATCAACAACACTGGTGCAAAGCCTGTGAACAGGCTGTTGTGTTGAGGTTTACAGAGAACCTTCTGGAAATAGCGTCACATGGAGAGCAGAGCGGCTGTTTGTCGGCCCACATAAGAGAGAAAGCAAACAGAACCACGATGACTGTCACTGACTCGACTACGTCTATATATTGTCCCTGACCTGCTTCAGAGTAAACAGTAAATAGTTCAGAGCCCTCAGATCTTTTGAAAATGCATTAAATTTGACTAAATTCTAATGCTAAAACAGGTTCATCATGAAATCAACAAAACTGAAGCGCAACAAAGCAAAACTTATAGCCCAGTCATAAGCAACTGGTGAACAAACTGCAGCAACCCAGCAGTGTACCAACAGCAATGTTTATTGGGCTAAACGTTTTTAAGGCTAAAAAAGTGAAATGGTTGTTTAATTTAAACCAATGAACCCAAGGTCTTGCACAGTGTGCAGGCCTAAATTTCAGTTGCTCACTCCAACACCTACATAAATTACATATTACCTACATAGCAGGTACTAAATAATAAATCTTAAGATTAATAACTGAAGAACGAGTCTAGGGTTAAAGGAATTAACCAATAATGGAAAACTGCTACCACTATAACTCCTTCCTACACTGAGGAAAGATACGCTAGTTTCCCCTGAGTCCAGAAACAGACATAAACAGCCATAAACGTCGTCTCTTCTAAGTGCAGCCAGAGGCTAACGAGGAGCGAGAGGCAGTGCACGGTCGGAAAGACAGCACTGCTCTGCTCTGGTGGATGACAGTAGGGAAAGACCAGTCAGGAGCTGCAGCTGGAAAATAATGCAACTAATAGGAAAAAACGCAAGAGGCCAGAATGCATGCAAACAGCTTTTACAGACACTTCAAAGAAAGTGGATTAAAAAACTCAAAGGAAGACAATAAAATACCAATGTTTGAATGATCATAGAGTTTTAACGGTATTGCATAACAATTATACAGATATTTGACATTTACATTACAGATTCCTAAACCTGCAAACTAAATCTGCAGTTTGTTTACATATTCTACATTAGATTAGTATTATTATTAATACCTGACTAGCAAAAAGGTTGAAAGGCTTAAGTTATATGACTGTAAACCTAGACTACTGCCCAAATTACAGTAATGTCTTCTCAATAAGGATGGCATTGGAAAAGAGAAGTTGTAACATGCAAGTGCTTCCATTCATTCTTTTCCAGCTTGAAACAAATAACAACCTCTTTTAAGTGTTTTACATAAAGGGGAGAAATATGAAATGCCCATAAAAAATAAATAAAATAAGTGTTCATATTTTACAATGGCACTAATTAGGGTCTGTGTGCTTTTATGATGGTCATATTTCTGCCCTTTTTCAGCTTATATTGCTCAAAATAAAGATTTACTGCTTACAGGTCCCAAAAAAGTAGGATTATAGATAAATATTCCCATGCACCAATGGAGGCTAAATTGAGTATGAAAACCAGTTTGAAGCCATTACTGTGAAACTCGGAAACTACAAAGACGGCTAAATTGTTAGCATTCCTTTTAGGAAGGTTGAAGGTCAGTAACAAATTTAGAAAAGAAACTGGCAACCTGACATACACTTGTGTAAGATCACTGCAGTTTCATGATCTCAACATGCAATAAAGAGCTTTACTTGATGTCTTACTGTAATGCCCTAAAAGCCCCTAAGCATTTGTTATGGAATTTTGACTTGCCATGTTATTTTATGATAGGAATATTTGGTAACACTTTACTGCAGGGCAGTATTAATAAGCCTACATGATTATGATACCTGCATAAACTCATCATGCCAATGTTTCATAGTACAATATAACAACTGGCTTTGTAGCGTAGTGTACATTACAGTGACATAATACTGAAGAAGTGTCACTGTGACCTACATTGTGCTATAAAGTCTATTAATTCACTCCAGTAGGTTTCATAATAGCCTAATGTCTGGAAATATGAATGTCACCTGACTTAGATGTTGTGTGAACTTAATGACAAATGACACTTGCTGGAATAAGTGATTGCGTAGGTCTACATATGTCTATGTGGGTTTCTGTCAGTTGCCATAAAGGGCTTACATTGGTGTTGTGTAGCCTTATGAACACTGCCCTATAGTTAAGTGTTATTGAATAATTTATTCCTAAATATTTCATGGATTAATCAAAAATGGTTGTGACAATGTCAGTCTCATAGTTTTGTGCTGGAAAAAAAAGATATTTTTTCTGTGACTGCTAATCTTTGTAAAAGGGTCAATTCATTTACTACAGGATTTTTTTCTAAACCGGCATTTTTTAAATTATAATTTTCTATCTTTATTCAAAAGACAGAACATTAGGGGTGAGGAGGTCACTGTACACTTTATAGCAGACAAACCTCCCCATCTGCATTCTGCAATCACAAACATATGGCTTTAATATGGTCGCATTCCACTATAACCCTCTGCACAGATATTACACAGATATTAAAGGGGAAAAAGGCAGAGGCCATGGCTTTATGTCTTTACTGGAAGCTATGTCTACCCCTATGATGTGTAGGAGAAGCCATCCTGAGCAATGATGGAACAGGAAAGTTCGACAAATAATTTCCGCCAACTTCAAAAAAAAACCTACAAATTGGACGCAGCAGACCGCCGGCATAAATGACATTTCCTACTACTTGAACAGGCTCTGGACAATGGAAAACATAACATGACAACCACAAGCACCTCATCACTCCACTCCATCCCACTGAAGTCTGCAGAGGCACAATTTGAAAAACGTCCTGTTGCCCTATCAAAATGAAATCCTAAATGGCTGGAATAGATGTAACATATGGTAAACATGTACTTAACCTTAGAAGGAAAAGGGCAATGACCCCTATAAACTACTGCGGTAAGAAATGAGGTCAGTAAACTAGCCTTTGACACACAGGCTATATTTCTTCTTAACAGAAAGCTCTATGGGACCAATGGCCAATCAAAATTATTGGGTCCAGAATGGGTATAAGAATACAGTTCGTTGTCTACTTTGAAAGGTGGCCTAAAGAGCTTTGTCCAGCCAAACACAGCGCTCAACGTAGATCACACGTGTACAGGAAATGTTAACTTAAAATAGCTTTATGGGTGGGTCAGGCGGTGATGCTCTAAAAAATGCATGTGTTGAATTTGTAAATGCCAACACCTAACATCCTCAGCATTCCTCGACATTACTGAAGTCATTGTATGGACCTAATTCCTCCTATTGTTTTCAAGCATGGCATCCAGGACAGCAAAAATGTCAGTACTTGTGTCATACCGACATGGGTGAAAAAGCCAGCCAATTGTATTTTCTTTGTATGGTTTTAAAATTGATGCTTGGAATTATGAAATTCAGTGAATGTAATGCCTGAAATTCATCAGATACGTTAAATGTTTTTTAACATACAGTAAAGTGCAGTAGTATCCAAAAGTCACCCTTCGGTTATTTAATTTCCAGTCAAAACAGCCATTTACTACAAGCTACTCATTCAGGGGAAAAGTGTCAGGGGAAAAGGCAAAAAAACATGCATTTAACATAAAATTACACAGAAGCCTCAACAACTAAATATAATATTTGTGTGTGTGTGTGTGTGTGTGTGTGTGTGTGTGTGTGTGTGTGTGTCCCATCTTTGCCTTTGTCCTGTATAAAAGACTCAAGGAAACTTGTAGAGATATTCTTCTAAACCTCCAACGTCCAGTCTTGGAAGCTGCTTCCACATTTCAGATGCCTAGACTGGTGTTCTATGTGGTGTAAATGTTTGTCTGTTTTTGTGTATTTCCTTTTCTCAGCAACAGCTTCTTGACAGTTACACATACTTTCAGACCCACAGCATTTTTCTTTTTATCTTTAGCAAGAGTGGAGCTTAATTTTCACCTCTCTCTCAAGGATGAAAGCTTTAAATACTGTGTATCTGATGGTGACAGCTTTGGTGGTCTACCACGTCTTGCACAGTTGTTAGAAAGTACCCTTTCTTTATTAAAAATCTTTTTAAAAAAATGTTTTCCAAGTGTGAAAACTCCTTCTTTCACTGATTTTCCTTTGACTTCCCCCTTCCTTATGCAGTGGATTATCTTATATCCAATCTCCTCAGAAATATATCCTGAATTGGCAGTTTTGACTCTATAAATTAAATAAACAAAGGGTGCTTCCTGACTTTTGGACTGTACCTTATGACACCATGAGCCTAAAACACTATGAGTTTTGGGAAATTTGGCAAATTGATCAGCAAATTTACTCAGCTTTTCAGAATAACAACTGTGCAATCTGTGCCAAAGCACTGCTAGCTTGCTTCATATTTAGAAACAGAAGATGTCTTGGGCTTATTACATTATAAGGCTTGTTATTTAATGTGTACATGGGCTACAATGCAAACTGGCTGAGTTATTCTTACATTATACATGTAATAAAATAGTGGACCTGTCAGCAGTTCCTGGATATTTTAGTTTTAATGATAAGCACAAAAATGTAAGAGATTACAACAGATATTAGTCCTGAAGTAACTTAACCTATAACTTCACAACAACTCATCCCGTTTGTACTGTGCTTGTTGGCTTAATTGGGTATGTGTTAAACGCAGTACTCTGGAAAAACCACTGATATATATAAATGCAACAGCCATCACAGTATTTTAGTTGTATGGCCTTTTAAAGGCAACTTTTGGTGAGTAATGACATACCATGGCAGCATCGATGAACCCAATAATATCCAAAGTCTACACCAAGAAATGCCAGCCACCACGTCCAAGCAGAGTCCCAGGGTAGCTCCAGCATGTGATAGTTATTCCAAACATAGATGTAGCTGGACACCTCCAGACTCCTCACAAAGACACTGAGAGAAGCAGAATGTGCAATTCAAATGCAAAGATTAACCAGCAATGGGAAAAACAAAATCACAGCAATTTAGAGTGTAATAGCTGTTTACATTTACATACAAGTTATAAAAAGTGATATTTCAGGTTAGAACTGATATTAGTAGAGGTCAAAATGCATTTGGTATTCTGCTTGTGCAAGGTGAGTAAGCACTCTGGCACAAAGCTATGTTAAAAATAAACATCATGTCAAACCAAAGCTTTGGCTAACTCACTGGGGCAGTCTGGAGGTCATTCCTGCTGAGAGAGATGTGGTTCCATCGTTGATTTTGACGAGCAGCTCTCCAGTCTTCAGCCAACCCACAAACACCTCTAACAAGACCAGACCAATGAAGAAAGGAGTAGCCTACACAACACACAAGTGAATCAAGTGTGTTTCTGTAATTTCACTGTTTAACTGTACACTGTTAGAAATGATGGTCCTGTGCAGGTACATTTTTCATTCATCAAGGTACAAACAATGTAAATGTAACCTTACAGGTACAATGGTAATTTTAAGGTCCAATTGTGGATCTTACGTTTTCTCAGGTGAAAAATATGTATTTGTACTTTTTGCAATGTTTTAAAGCTGAACAATAGAAATATTTTTTGGAGAGTGTAGTATCCTAAAATACAGCCACATGTATACATCATTGCATGTTTTGGATTAGAAAACTACCCTCAAACATAAGAACAAGTCAGTAAGATGAAGTTAAATAAAAAAAACTCAAGCCTAGAATTGATTCTATATTTGGAATACAGTCTGTAATTGTAGGAACTAAGTGTTCCTATATGGTAAGCGGAGCCGATGAAAAGGACAAAGAGTGCAATAACAAGGAGGTATCCTTATTGAAGTGGCTGGTCAGTGTATGTAACAGTATGTACTGTTTGTCTTAGATAATGACGGGGAGTAAAAATAAGTCTCCTTTTAATTGTAGTTTGAACATCCTCAGTCAAATTACATGTTTCGTGTAAATAAGTTACTGCATCTTTTACAAAGAATGTTCGGCTAATTTTAGTACACAATTCCTATTTAACATATTAGTAAAAAAAATAAAACATACAGTACAAAAGGTGCCATAATAGGCCATATTTTATTTTTAATTTTTTTAACCAATATGTTAAATCCAGCAAATAAACAGCAACTGTATATAAACACGTGCAGAAGTGTGTTCTTTGCAGTTGATATGTAATGATATGTAATGTGATTAATCCTAATATAACATTAATTCTAAAATTTATATTTCTTGTATGTTTAAAGCCCTCCACAACCTGTATATCATGAAAAATAATCAAAAGTGGTCTATATTTATTTATATTTATCTGCTTCAAAATCAGCAACAACAGATATGTATGTAAAAAATGTTATGATATTGGCCCCCAGTTCCTGTATCGGTGCATCTCTACAGTTACGGTCCCAGGAAACACAGTGTAATTATTAAAAATGTTTGTAGGATTCTAAAATGTACATATTTCATAAGTAATAAGATATATTTTTGATATCCAGCAATGTTCAAATGAAAATTTTAAAATGTAATAAAATTTAAGAAAACAAAGTTTAAAAACCTTGATCAGACCTGTCTGGGTGTGGTCCTAATATTTTGATGAATGCACGTGATTGACATCCCTCAATGTCCCAGCCTGCTACAGCACTAAATCACAACTGAACACCACAGCAAGGGTGAGGAGAAAAGAGTGAAACATATGAAGGTGTAGTAGACTGTCTCCACAGTGTCCACACCTCACTAAAAACTTCATCAGCTTTTATATGGTGGCATCTTATAAAAGGTTATTATTCACTTTACAGCTGTTTGTGCATTCAGGGAATACTGGTGAGGCCACCTGAACAAATGGACAATGGGTGTTCTTGCTAGCTTATGCTTGCTAGTTTAGCTTTTGTGTATCATTAACTTTCTTGTGGTAAGTTTCTCAGAGTTGGGCTAAGTTCTCCGACTGTGGGGGAACACAGTGTTCTCAAGATGTGTGGTCAGGACAAGCCACACCAGCCTTGTGATTGGTGAGGACATGTTCGCAAAATACATCACACATTTGCTAGTCATTGGAAAATTATTCACTGGACATTCTTTGTATATCTGTTTACCTAAATCTGTATTTTTTTCTAAGATTAACCTTCTCAGAAAGAAAATACAGATTTAGGTTTTCTGGGCCTTTAACTAGGTTTTTGTTATTTATAAATACTGCAAAAGACTAAAATCAGTAAATCAGTATTTCCATGAGCAAAAGCCAAAACCTGGGAAAAATGATAAGGAAGTGTCCTTGATCACTCTCTATAACCTGTCTATAATGCTGTAATGTAACCCACTGTAAAACCAAACTGGTTAAACTCAACAATAAGCGTCAGGTCCCCCTTCGCACTGTGGAATGTGAGACACATGCACACACAGTGTTTGGCTGGAGCTAAGAGGAGCGTGGGACAAGGCACGGCAGATACACACAGGTGGAAGGGGAAGTGTGTGTGTGTGTGTGTGTGTGTGTTTCCTGCAGAAAGAGGCTATGGATTTGCCTATAGCATCACTCCAAACAACCCTTTTGGCATCTTCATAATGTTTTTCATTTCTTTCTCATAAAGACTTATTTGATCCCATAGATCATGCAGTTTTAGTGGTATATTTTTTTGAAAACAAAAAAGGATAAATGAAAACAGCTATTATTCGAGCAGTAACATATTCTGGGCTTGTGAAAATTGTTGAGGGATTCTTAATGGTTTTATAGAAAGCTGTGTCTGTGAACTCAGATCTCATCAGCAAAATTACATTTGTGAAACAGATGTTAGTGTTTTAGTCTCGCTCTCTTTCTCTCTCTCTCTCTCTTGCTCTCTGTTTTTTTGGTTAGATTGTGGAGAGCTTCATATAACTGGTTTTTGCAGTGAAAATACAAACACAGCTGAGTCACAACAAGCTGATTTCAAGTAAATCTGGTGGTAAATTGAATCAGATCACACAATAAAACAAAAAAAATATGCTATTTGAATAGTAATTTTTAGATCACTATTCAAATTGGAGCAAATCTGTGAAACTGACCATGTTAAGGACTTTGTACAAATGGTCATAATTTTTGTTTTTGTCCTATCTCTTCTATTGAAGCTCATGTTAAGAAGATTCTCAAGTGAATCTGATCAACTCATCAGAGGCTTTTGCACAAACTTATGGAGCCCCTGCCCATTTCAGCACATGCTGTCTTTAAAGAAAAAGAGGGAACATACCAAATACTAAGAAACTCTGAAGTTCGTGTAAACATCCAAAGCTTCTACTTTTCAGTTATAGTGTTACACTCATAATACAAAATCTTTGTATTAAATAAGAATTAGTATTAGAATGCAAAACATAAGCATTTCTATCAGTGGCTGTGTGTGTATATATGCAGCCACCAAATAAAGTTGTGCAACAATAGTGAACTACATAAGTTAATGACTGCATGTTTGTGACAAAATTACAACAATTAGGAGTCCTGCTGTGCGGTTAACTGTCTCTTCTTTATTTATGTGTTTATATGTGTCTATTTAAAAATCAGCCTTTTACCTCAAATAACAAACATGTGTTGATTCGGTTATAACCAAACCAAAAACACACAGCCATTTAAAACGTAAACAGGTACAGGAGTTTACAGTCTGGGCACGAAGACTGGTTTCTCATTCAACAGCTACAGTTCCACACAAAAGTCTCAATGTCTGTTAAACTGTTAAACAAGCAGATTAAGATTGAACTATAACTATTGAACATAGATGCTCATACTAGGCAAAGCAACCGCATCTATCCTACCGGATATATGTCTACAAATATAGCCCAACCTTTGGACCTCTGGAATCCCCTGCTCATGTCCTGACAGTCTACAACTGTTTAAATTCAAAACCCATATTCACATTGGCCAAATGCGGTGTCATGATTTATGACTGGTCAAGACAGCCAGCAATTATTTCTGAGGGGAAGGAATTCATTTCAAATATTTTCTAATGTAGGTGCCCCAGGTGACTCTGTTGACTGCTCTGTTATATTTCTTTTATATGATTTCTATGGTGTGTTGAAACTGAAAGATAAAATAGAAATCCTTCAGTAAATGCCTTGCAAACTGCTCTCATAACTTTCTCACAGTGATACAGTCATGTAGAACTGCGTTGTAAGAGAAAATACAGTGAAAGTGAAGATTGAAAGTATATGTTAAAAGCATGTCAACAACACTATATGGATGAAATACTAATTTGTTAGCACGTATTCTTCAGCTCAGCAAGATACTGGCCTTCTTTTAGCAAATGCAGTCTTAGAGTGACCAACAAAATGAAAAAGTGGATGAGAATGTATCAACATGACATCTTGATACTTTCACTATACACAATATTTGTTTTTTTTCTGAGGTTTGCAAACTAGTTTGAATGGACAAAATGTAGGGGAGAACTACACACACACACACACACACATATATATATATATATATATATATATATTTCCACAGTCAGATTTCCTGCCACATTACTCCAACATGTAAACATGCTGCACAGAATTATTCAGAGACCATGCAACAGCAGTCTCATAGTCTTATCAGCACTCTTCAGTTTACTCCTCTCTGGAGAAAAGTGCTCCCACTGAGAGCAATTAATTCTGGGCCTTGGACAAAGCTAAACAGTGCAAGACAGTCCCTCAGTACACTATTAGATGATTTGGATTCTACATTTTCCGCAGCAGGAACATGAAAATACTTTTTTGGCTAGACCCTTTTGGACCCACTGCCAAAATCTTCCCTGTACCAACACACCCAATCCAGCTCATCAATTGATTATCAAAGCTTTTTGAACTAGATCAGGTGTGGAAAATCGCTGAATCAGTGCAGCGGAACCCACCCAAAAGCAAGACTGAGAAACTCTGGCCTAAAGCAGTGTTTCCCAACTCCAGTGCTGGAGTCCCAGCCACCCATAGCTTCAAGATTTCTATCCTTTAATTGCACATGATTCATGATTCAAGGCTTTATCATAAGCTAATGATGTGATTCAAGAAGACCATAAAACTCTGCAGTGTTGTTAGACCTCTGGCTCTAGACTGTATGACTAGTATGTAGTTTACAGTGCACAATATTCTATTTCAATTACATCCAAGTACAAGCACATTGATATGTCTTAAGATCCAGAAAATACATTTCCTGCAACCAGCCTAATGCAACAAATGACTAAATGTAAAGCAGTAAAGCTACGTGAGGTACCTACAGCTCTTCCACACTACATTTCAGCCTGCTCATCATGCTGAGGCTGTTTATGCACAGGTTCTTTCACAAATGAAAACCATAAAACTGCCATAGAACTTCTATAGGTACTATGGATTCAAGTATTCAGACACGTTTGCATTTAAAAGTTATACCCTGGTCAAATTACACGTTTTGTTGATTTGGAAAGTTAAAAAACGAATCTGAATATGACATTTTTCTGAAAATTTCACTGCACGATTTCTTCAACATACTATGAACAAAAAAATTAAACAAAATATAAAATTCACTATAACTTTTGCACAGGCTATATTTTATGTTTTATCCCCCCACATTGTGTAATAAAATGTGCAGATGTGTGTTCTCTGTGAGGATGTGTTAACTTATTTTCAGTTAGAAATTGAACAAAACGTAAATTGAGTGAGGTGCTCTTTTGCATATAACTGTATGCATCTATATATAATGCAGCAAACCAGTCGTTAGGTTACTTCTCACATGTTTATCAGTGCATTGCCTTCAATGGTGGCCAGATACATTTGCATATTAATGAACGTTATTGTAGGCCCTTCCTGACAACTGACAAGTATCTGACCAAACATTGTAAAAGCTGAAGTCCAGCATGTAGTTTGTTTACGCGACGTTAAGGGTTTCAGGAGGTGTGGCGGGTGCCAGTGTTTCAGTAAATCTAGTCCCCTAGACCGTAGTGCACTACGTATGGAACTAGGGGTCGATTTAAGACACACCCCACGTCTTGAGTCGTACCACAGACGATCTGCTGGCTTGTCGAAAACTACTTCCTACTCTCAGATGACATGTAAACAGAGAAGTGCCTTCATGTTCACAGAACAGGCTGCAGGCGCTTCTCGCAGTGTGCAGAGCAGACCGCGCCTGCTGAGACACGGCGAGCCAGGAGCCTCCACGCTACGCTGCCATGACTGCTTTGTGGCGCTGAAGTTGCGTAAACAGGCGCACGCAGCGCAGTGTGTATTAAACAGGGATTGTCCCGCAGATTAACGTTGTCACTTAAAACCCGAACGTACCTTCTGAACGTACCGCGGCACGTCGTCCACGTCTGAGAATGAAGTTTCATTCGGCGTCATCAGATAAAACAGCATGCGTGTACCTTGTGAGAAGGTAACGTCGCTGCTCTCCACTCGGGCCATGCTGAGCTGTGAAGTGCTGTTGATCACCGGCTCCCACAACGCGTTCTCAACCTGCTGTTGTGCACTGAGCTATATTCTCAACACAGCCGCCCTGACTTTTGTACTTTTGTATGGTGAATGTTTACCGTGGTGCTCGGGCTCTGTGGGATGGCCTGCATGACGCAGCAGAGCGAGTCTGGCCCAGACACCACACAGGCCACAGACGCGCTGCAGAGCAGCTCAACCAGAAGTTCTCCTACTGCATCAGATTTCTGCAGTGATAACTACACACAGACTGTGTGGCCTGCAGTCCAGCCAGGCAGAGGAGGGAAAAAAATCAGCTACGACGTTTTTCCCGTCTCTGTTTCTGGAAGCAGTAAGTTTGACTAATTATCTTGAAACTTATTTTTTCAAAAAAGGTTGACTTCTTATGTCAAAATAATGACTTTCTCAAAATGCTGACTTACTGCATCAATTATATTTTTTTATAATGTCGAAATAATGACTTAGTCTCTTGAAATAATCTCTATCTGGCAGGAATGGGCTTTCACACTGGCCACATAAACAAGTAAACAAGTGAGTGTGAGCTCCTCTGCTGGTAACAGAGAATAAGGGAAAAAAGCAGATATACATACTGCAATAGTAAACTGGCCCATAATATGACACACTTGCTATAAACTTTCTGCTTAGTATGATGCAAATTTACATACTGCAATAAAAATTGCTCTTAAAAATTAAGTAAACTTGTTGCCTTAACATTTTGATTTGAACCTCAAGTAGTACGCTAACAGAGGAATAATCTATGCCGTACATTTTGCTAACATCTTATTTTGTTAATTAATAATATTAAGAAAATGTATTGAACACATAAATTGAATTGTAAAATTGTAAGGTCCCCATGTTACTTACTTTTTAAGTTAAATTATTATTTTGTAAATATTATATCTTGCAAGTGAAATCATCTGCAATCCAGCCAATTTACGATTACTTTTTAATACACAATTACTGTTTGCTTGCAAATATTTTGGGGAAAAAAAATAGGCATAATTTTGTGTGTTTCAAGCATTTCAGCTAAAGTTTCTCCATTATGTTTTGAAAAAGGAAAAACAATCTGCCAGCAGAATAAGTCAGCTTCTCTTGACTAGATTTAAGATGTTTTCATTTGCCAGGATACCATTTTTTGTAGTGTAGTGTTCACGTTTTGGAAAACAGGGAATAATAATTTGATCAAATACTTACGTGTAACAGATTAATCATCATTATTATCTATTAGTGCATGTGGTATCATATTTACTTCTCTTAATACAAATATTCCTATCCATATATTAGCTCATAGTGCACACAGCATGCTGATAAAACACACCTGTTTGTTCATCTGTTCTTAGAAACTGTGACCTGTAGCATATTTGACAAATTACACTTAATCCTTTAAACATGGCAGGATCAGTTACCTGCTTTCAGCAAAACAGGTAGGTTAAGTTAAATGTATTACTTTCAGTAGGTAACTAGTTATATGAGTAAGATGCATCTAAGATAAGATGAGAGATGAATTGGACATGAATAAAAATAATTTCATAATTGAAATTATTTTGAGCTATAAAAATCAGTTTGTCGTTATTCAAGTTAAGGGTCAGGTTCGGCTTGTAGTTGGCCTCTGGCTCTATCAATTAAACAATGGTGTATATTGTGTACTGTTCAGTTAACATTTATACAAAAGCATTTACTGAATAACTACTATCACAACTATGAAGAGGCACAGTTTGGAGTAGTATTCAGTGGACAGTGCTGTTTTTTACACGTCCTGATGAAGAAACAGTTTCTCAGAATGAAACCAAATGAGTTACAGTGAAGGGATTGACTAAGATTGTGATTGTGTCATATAAATTTACAGACCAACACAACTCTGAATAAGCCTTTGCTTCTGAATTAGACAAACTTTAGTGATTACGTTTTGAACAACATGCTGACACCCTATGCGTTATAGAGCCATTTAGTCAAGGTCAGATTAAGATTTAGGAGTTATGGTATCTCATCCCCACAAAGTCTGCAGACATAACACGTGTACACAATGCACGGTGGGTAAGATGCTAAAATGATCTTTTATAAACATGGTGAAATGTTTCAAAAACATCTTAAACAGGTGATGCACTCATGCTTTAGGATTAAAGAGCATCCAGGAAAGGCCTAGTCCTTTATAAGCAAAGATGGGCCGAGGCTCACTACTTAGCCAAAAAATAGCTGTTTTAAGAAGAATGTTCCTCAATGAGTGATTACGAGAATTTTAAGCATTTCACCCTCTACAGTGCATAATATCATCAAAGCATTCAGAGAATCCACAGAAATCTCTGTGAGTAAAGGGCAAGGCCAAAAACCACAACTGAATGCACGTGACCTTCGACCTCTCAGCATGACCAGCATGCCTCTGTGATGGATTTCACCACACAGGCATGAGAACACTTTGAGAAACCATTGTCAATAAACACTGCATTCAGAAATGCAAGTTAAGACTGTACTATGCACATCTGAAATAAAATGTCTACAATGTCCAGAATTGCCACCAACTTGTTTGTACTCAAGCTCATTGAAAATAGACTGATGCACAGTGAAAACATGTACTGTGGTCGGACAAGTCAACCTTTCAGACTGTCTATGGAAACAATAGACTTCTTGTTCTCCACGCCAAAGAAGATAATGGCCATCCAGACTGTTACCAGCATAAAAACCAAAAGCTAAGACCTGTCATGGTGTAAGGGTGTAATAGCATTAATGGAATGGGTAATATGCACACCTAAGTAGGCACGATTAACACTGAAAGTATAAATATGCATTTAGTAGCAACATACGCTGCCTTCAAGACAATGTCTTTTTCATGGAAGTCCATGCCTATTTCAACAGGACAACACCACGTTCTGCACATGAAACAAAAGCATGGTTGGGCGATTAGAGAGTGCAGGTGATAGACTGGAATGCAGCAAAGACCCATGTGGTTGCATAACTGAAGACTTGTGTAACATAATTAATTAATTGGTGTCTTCAGTCTGCTAAAGATTGTTAAGCATTGTTAAAAGGTAATGTAAACATGTTTACCACTTTTTTATAACTTTTTTGGAACTTTTTAGAACTTTTCGAACTTTTTATGAACTTGTTGCAGCCATTAAATTTGAAATCAGCATATATTAAAATAAATTAATCATTAAATACAGTTCAGAAAGTAAAACATCAGAACATTTTGTTTTTGTACTGTTTCAATTTAACACGGGTCAAACATAGTTAACCAATCACTACCTTCTTTTTTTTTAGTAGCATTTCACATACTGTCCCAACTTGGAATTTAGGTTTGTATTTTGTTCAAGTTTTACATGTAGAAGCCACCATAAACCAAATTTAAGGCACACATAACGATGATAATTATTGGATATTTATGCCTGACTGACTAGTCCGGTGTTTGAATAGATTTAAAGCAAATTGAAAGTTTCAAAATGTTTAAGTAAAAAATTAATTAGCAACATTTTGTTGCCCCCGGACAATGGGTGCCCCAGGGTAGTCAGCAAAGGTCACCCATATGTCAGATCTGGCCATGCGTTAATTTTGGTGGGTTTTTATTCATACAACGTTTCATGCGGTGCTTCCTTCACAATTTTCTTTTTCTGTTTATTTTTTTTCTCTTCTTTCTAATTAAGAATAACAACATAACTTTTCATATGGTTCTTTTGATTGAGACCCTGAGTCACATGGTGGTGGGAAAACCTGTGTTTAGACACTCAAATTTTCTTTACCAATTAGGATGCGTACTCACACTGTGGTGACAGGGGGTGTATCATATAACAAAATTTCAAACAGACTTTTGTAATAGAATATGATCTATTTGCACGCCCTTTTCTAGGTCTCTGGCAGAAGTCTTGACCCAGCCTAGAGGAGAAGTCGAGTTTAGCATTCTCTCCAATGCTAACGTGCTATTCCTTCCAATGGTTTATTCATGTTAGTCGCACTCTGAGTTCTGGCATACATTAGCCATGATGAGTCACAGACAGGATAAGGCAAAGCAGTCCGAAGTGCATGTGCAGCAAGTGTTAAAACTGTATTCAGATGATGTTCAGCAGGATATCTTTAAACCCAGTTTGCAGAAAATAACTACAGATGGGAAAAAAATAAAGGCAGCAACATAAGGCATTTTTATTTATGATGTAAGTCGTATAAGTCTGTATAAGAAACTGACAGCTGATGGGTGATAAGAAAATACTGATACTGATATTTACACACTGGAAAACGTTTCGATTCTCCCACAGGCTTGGTAGCATCTTTGCTTTGTTTACACTGAGAGTTTCAGAACGTACAGTAAAAACCAATGAAGGCACGATTTAACAGTGCAAACCAAAGCACAGACCTGGCCTCTTCTCATTGTTTCAATGAAAGGTACGTTTTGTGGAATGTTCAACTTTTTGACCAAATTACAGATGACATTTTAATTTTTTTTAACAATTCATTTTAAAGAAATGACACAAGAAAAAATCTAATTTACACAATTTATCCTTACTCCAAACATACTTGATCAGCCAAAACCTATTTGGTTTTCTTTAGTTTTGTAAAGATTTTGTGTGACACAGACCTCCATTACACCCATTACAAGGCTACATTAGTCTTAGGTTTCAGCGCAGAACATTTCCATTTACCCCAAGCATATTTGATCAGCCAAGACAAGTTTATGTGTAACAGTTAGAATTAGACATATCATACAATAAGCGATTACAAAATTATATTATTACTGTTAAAATGCCAGTTACTTTTGTAAAATGTTCATTTTAACAGTTGAAATAAGTTATAGGAAGCCCTTTACGCATACATCCCTCTTCTTCTAGGTTTAATATCTTACCAGGTTGTTATGCTCTTCCTAACCAAGGGAATTGTTTGTATGCAAACGTTTGTGCACACCTGGTCAAATGGCATGTTTTGTTGAATTTCTAAATAAAAAAAATTGCACATCCTCTACAGTGAACACACTTCTACACATTTTAATGCACAATTACTACTTCTGTATTGATTTTAATATATTGGGAGAAAAAAATAAAAAAAATAAATTAAGTTACTAAGTTATTAACTTCACCTACCTCTGTAAAAAACAAAACAAAACTGTAAGTCACTCTGGATAAGGGCATCTTCATAACATCATAACTGTCAATGCACATTTCTCCCTCGTTAACTTTTAAAGTGTACCATTACAAGGCATTTTGCTTGCTAAAGTCATGCAACGTTGAGCATTTTTCATCTTCTTTTGTTGTCATTTTTTATAGTTCATAAGCAGCTTTCTGTCCCTAATTTTGGATTATTTAAAATGCAGAACAAAGCTATACGATCATGTGTAAGCTGCTTTAATGTATGTGAAGATACTGCTGTTTGAGAAATAATACTAAGAAAAGAGGAGACGAGTGAGAGCTCTGAGATGGATGATTCTGAAGTCTGCAGTCATCTTTTGCAAGTTTGCAAGATTGTAGAGTTTTAAATTCTACTTTAGGATAAACAAAGAACTCTCAGAATCTGTGCTGGGACAGAGGTAGATATGTATGTTTGGGGTAAGGAGTAAATTGGGAATATTTGAAGTTTCTATGAGCCATTTCTTTAAACCTTATGAGAGTGCAATGTATTGAAACACACTTATAATGCCCACTCTCAGCTTGTAAACTATGGTTATCAATTTATGGCAAGGACCTTTGACCCTGATAATCATAAATTTTCTCTTAGCGTCCTAATGTCAAAGTATATGGCACAGTCCTACCATAGGTCACTTATGACACACCAGTTCTTTGTACATGTGCACATACATGTTGTCACTCAGCTATCAGCTACCAGCAGTCCTAACAGGGACGTTCCTGAGAGAAAACAAGGGCATAGTCTTCTTTTGGCAGGCGTGGTTTGTTCTGCAGCCCTGGGGGAACTGCTGATCTATTATCAGGCTCTTCTTCATAAAGAGCAGCCTTGACCACCGTGGCACTAGGGCACAACGTGACCCCAAAGCAGCATCTCAGGGGCAACTGTTGCTTCTTTGTATCATAACTGAGCATGCTCAGAGCTCTGGTCGCTGTCATGACTGTCTTCGTTGACCAAGGAGTCCACTGTGTGGTGAAGTCCAACGATGCCCGAAAACTCGGAGGGCAGCAAGGTCCCCTTTTTCACATTGACTAGTTCTTTTTCCCTTGCCACTGCCCCCTGCTGTCCACCCTTCACTCTCTTCCACTTCATTCGTCTGTTCTGAAACCACACTTTCACCTGGAGAGTGAAAAAGAGTAGCAAAGTGCAGTTATCTTGCCCTGAAAATGCACAACACATTAACTAACTAATAGGAGTAAAGGTTGTACAGTATGCCTCACCACACTGTACCCTGATGGGCTTTACTTTTGGCACAGTTAGCGTTTGAGCTAAACATGCAGTGTGCATGACTCACTAACCTCAAGTAAGCTAATATCCCTTAGTGGGTGAACAAATGCTTAAATGACGTGATCGAATGAGTGCAGTCCATGTATGCAGTTTCATACACAAATTTTTGAAGTGTTATGTGTTAAAGGTGTTTGATAAACATAGCATAACATAGTAACAGAAGGTGGTCTAATATAGGCATTTCCATATTAGCAGTAATTAACTGACAGAGCACATCTGTTCTGTGATATCAAACACTTCCCCTTACTCGTCAAGTCGGGTCCAGTATTTACGTTTCCCAGAATGATGATGAAGCTGTTTCTTAAATGGTCAGTGCAGTGTGAGCGAGGCTTCGATGGCCATGAGCGTCAGCGTGCAGGGGACTGGATCTCCCTCCTCTAAAATTTATTTTTGGTGGGACGCAGACGAGGATCATGTGATGCGGAAGTCAGCTAACAGCACAAATGTTAGTGTTTGGTCTTGGGCATGTGCATGCAGTGCCATCAATCAGTACGGATTTTTTCAAACTTTATCCATCTTGCTAAGCCAAATGAGAGCAATGTTTTTTCAGTATTCAAAAGCAGCAACAGCTATATTCTCACTTGTTGATGCCTTGCTTTAGCCATGTCATCTCAACTGCATGTTTTGGCTAAATGCAAAGTTAACAAGACCACTTGTTTTTATTAAACATTTAAAGAACTAAAAGAATGTTTTAATTGTATTTTTAAAAAGTAGTTATGCTACCACAAATGCAAGTTTTGTCCGAAAAAAAATAAGGAATTAAAAGAATGTTTTAAAGCAATATTGAGGTTAATTGTGTTTAAAAGTATTTTGTACTTTTGAATATTGTCATATGATGTGCCACCTGGGGCCCTTGCTGTCAGCACGGTAAGACGACTGACCTTAAAATATATCTGCCAGCTCTGCAGTTTTGCCCACAGCATGGAGAGTTCTCCATGCCACTCCTGACAAGTTAAGAGTACTTATTATGTCCTCTTGGTGGGTGATTAAGCAGTTGGTTCCTCAAAAAAAAATGGTCAGAGTGAGCCAGAAGGCTGGCTATTATAATTAGGCTTACAGATGTTATTATGACTACTACAAGGTATTATTGTTCCTGTAATTATTATGATGTGATTAGTAGCTTCAGCGTTGGTGGCCCCAGTAAAGCCATAATTCTCCAGAGGTTGCACGGCCTCGTTCGCTGGGAACTGGTTCACACAGGGATCACGTAGCAAGATGGGGTTCACTTACTCCGTCGTGTGGCAAGGTTAATGTTATGCTGACAGAATGTGACCCCAGAAAAAAGTCTCCAAATCAGAGACTTCACATGTCAAACCCACCGTGTGAGCTGTGAGCTACGTGAAATACCGAGGCCTGGAAGTCCCCTGTTGCATGATTTATCAAACGTTACATGCTTTTTCAGTGCGACTACATGGTAACCACAACTTTCAACACTTGGGCTAACGCTATGTTGACACTGTATTCGGCCTATAAGCGCATCAAACTGACTCAGATGGACATCTGAAACATACAGGTGAGGAGATTTATTCATAACATATGGCCTTTCTGCTCCTAAAACAATAGACATAAGCTATAATCTATTTAATATAAGTTTTGAAATAATCTGTCACTGTTTGTTACTTTCTCTTTTTTATTGTAAATCTGTTCTTCTGCTATTTTAGATTAATATTAGGCTATATTTTATTTCCTCATCGCACTGTTAACATTCCTTCACAACATGTTAAAATGTCTTAGGATATAGTACTTAGTTGCATATTTTATTTCTTTAAAATTAGAATTTTTTTATTGATAAAGAAATTGAATTTGAAAATGAGTTATTATTAGACTTTAACAGTCTTAATATTGTTTTTGCTCAATTCTATAAATACTGGGTGTTCAGGCAATTCATTTTTTCAGATTTAATTTTTTTCTTATATTATTGTTTTTGTATGGAGAATTGTCTTACTAAACTTGGTATCAATATCAAAATCAAAATTCTGGTATCTTGAAAACCCTGTAATTCTCATGTTACTGATATAAGTAACCATATTATTATTATATATAACTTGGATAAAGAATAATGAATTATACAGACAGAAACAAGTTCTCCAAATTGAGGTACTTGGACAGTAGGTTGGATCCTAGAACTGTAGAGATAAGCCACCTAAGTGATCCAAAACAATAAATCAGTGTACATGTATCTAGTAAGACTTTGGTTAGTTCTTTAGGAGTCAATGATCTACAGTTATTTCATGGTTAAAGATGTGTTACAATGCAATTTGAAGATTACAGCATTCCATGTATCCTTCTAGCCAAATAAAGTGTCCTGAGTTATTTATTTCACATATGGCTACCCAAAGGGACTTCCTACGCTGAGGCCAATTTGTAAGATTGTAGAGGAAGTGTCTAGCTGGACAGCATATGCTTTGCCTGTCTCCATTTCTTCTCTATAGCCTGACTGAGGGAGCTTGCAGAAACATCTGGAATATGATAGTCCCTCTACATCGCCACAGCAGCATAGAACAGCACACAGACTGAACCATAAAAAAGAGTCACAGTAGCTTTAGACATAATGATGGATGGCCAGGTATGAAGTTGCATGGTGTTGTCATACCTGCCTTTCAGTGAGATCCAAGTTTACTGCTATTTCATAACGCCTCAGTCTGGTCAAATAGTTGTGATGAGCAAACTCCGCCTCCAGCTCGCGGATCTGTTCCTTCGTAAACGCTGTCCGCTCCTTCCGGGGCTTGCTACTCGCGTCTGATTTGTAATTCCCATCTTGGGATTCTGGGCATGAAAAAAGGAGGAAAATATTTCCATGTATTATGACACATAAAGAGCAGACTTTTTGAATCATTCTAAACGATTGCCATGTTTTCATCTAAAAGCAAATAAAATGACTTGTCTGTCACTTTAATATGACAAAAAGATTGTGTTCAGCATAAAACAACTGCTATAAATTAATAAAAAAGAAGAACAGCAAATACTGAAGTCCTCTCTTGACGCAATCTTAGCGATTAAGGGAAGAAAAAAAAACAATTTTTCCAGTTATTTGGAATTGCAAAGAACAAAATTCCTCATAGATTATACATGATAATATATCTGTCATGGTCACATCAAGAGGACAGTTACAAAAGGATTTCTCTGAAATGTTTGTTTAAAAGGGTGTAAATACAGAATGTCTTTGACAGAAAGATGGTTAATACAATTAATAAATAGTAAAAATAAAAATAATAAAAAACACATTTTTAAAAGAAAATTCAGCAATCTTTTATGACATTTCCATCTTAATACTTTTGCATTCACAAGACAGTAATTAACCACCATATGTAAGTATATAAATATATAAATAGAGATGTAGAAAGAGGCTGTGTTAACTGATAAAACATTATTAAAAAAAGAAAGGAAAATAAAAGTAGGGAAAATACTGTGCTCTTCTATGATATCAGCTTTCTTAATGCCAGCTGAATGTTGCCGTGTCCAGCAATGAGGGGTCATATGCTTGCTGCTGGTCACTGAGTTCTCATAATGGGCTGGCTTTCGACAAAGCATTTTCCAGTGTGGAGTTAATTTGCCTTACTGTTAATGGAATCTGTTACCCTCATAGTTTTAATATGGAACAAAACAGCTCTGGAGAAAGTGTAAAAATATGTTTCCTTAGTTTATTTACCTCAATGTTTTACAAGCGTCTTCACTGTGTGATCGCAAACTGCCAACTCACTCATAGTCTCTCTCTCTCTCTCTCATTATGTTTTTCTTTATCGTCTGTCTCTCTCTACCACTCTCTTGATCTCCTCTCTCCCTTTCTTTCTCTCCTGTCTCCCCATCTCTCTCTCTCCCTACCTTTCTCTCGATCTCACCTCCGTCTTATCTCTTTCTGTTTTTCTTCCTCTCTCTCTGTTGTCCCTCTCTCTTTCTACCTCACTCTGTCTCTTCTCTTGATCTCTTCTCTCTCTGTTTCACTATTTCTCTACCCAATCTATTCTATCTTTCTCAATGTCATCTCACTGTCTATCGTGTTTCTCTCCTCCTTTTTCTCCCTCTTTCTCTCTCCCCTTTTCTTGATCTCATCTATCTCTCTTTCCTTTTTCCTCAATCTTCTCTCTCTCTCCTGTCTATCTCCCTCTGTCTCTCTCTCTCTGTCACTCTCTTTCTCTGTCTTTTCTTTCTCTCTCACTCCCTTTCTCTCCCTTCTCTTTTTCTCAGCCCCCCACCTCGCTCTCTGTTTCACTGCATTTTCTCTGTTTTTCTGAATTTTCTATGGATGACATAATGCTCACACATACACATATGTGATACTACTGTTTAAGTTTGAGCCATAAGCTGCTCTAAAGAGTGAAATGAGTTAGTACAGATGTCAAACAGTGGACTCAGAAAGCCAAAGAGAAAGCCGAAAAGTCAAATTAAGAAACTAAGAAAGTGGCTTCTGCTGTTTTGAAACTGCAAGGAAGAAAATCAGTTCTTTGTCTTTTTTTATTATTGCAAGAAAAGAAGAAATGCATGCCCTTCACATGACTAGATCTTGCGGTATGTTTTTTAAGGCCATGCCTCAGTTGCAAATTGCACATCAAGGCAACAAAACCTCTGCTCTCTGATTCATATGTGGCTGTAGAGACTGTGCTAATCCAACTGGCAATCCTAAACCCAGCTGTAAATAGAGCCCACTTTAACAAGGCCCCATCCACAAGTCATGGGAACAACTCTGCTATTTCAACACACAGAGACATTTCCAAAAGTGACGGATTTCAGAAAGAGACCATTAAGGTTTTAGAAGCACTTCATAACTATGTGGATGTAATGTGCACTTGGTCAGAAACATACGGAATGGCAAAAAAAAACCCTCAGCTTTTTCATATTTGCATATGAGCACTTCTTCTAAAGAATAATTCTTACAAAATATTTCTTAAAAGTACATTTCTTCCAGCAACTAAAAAAAGCTAAGGAGTGTTGGAGTAATGTAGGACAGCCTAGATTACTGAAATAAAGAAATCATGCCAAATGTGCACTTTAGGCTATGATGCTTTCATTAAATTGATGATTTTGTCAGGTGCAGCGTATTATAGATGTACTGATTTCTTCCATGGCCTGTACGCTGCATGGTCCATTTCACCAGTCACGTTTCTCTCTGACCTCCAGAGGTAGGAGCAGTCTGTAATTTTAGCAGGCCTTTTCTGGCCGCTGTGTCTAGCTGCGTTTTGGTCTGATTGAAACAGGCATTGAGAGACACAGTTACTGCGGGTTAAACACGGCCATTGTGGAAGAAGAAAGACTAACACGAGCAGCTGTTTGCGAACAGCGCTGCCACAAGTTAAAACGACTTTTTCTCAGCTTTACGACGCAGCGGCTACACCGCAGCAATTAGGCCTGCGCCTTAACTTTCATCTCACTTCAAAAGCACCACTGGAAAAAAGTGCCACACTTTGCCTCTTTGCCTTTGTGTGTCTGTAGATGATTTTTAAAATTCTGTAGATTATTTTGAAGTTATTACATCATCAAGTAACGCTGCTGATTTTAGGCAGCAGAAGAAGTTAAGTTAAAAAACAGCTGATGAGTCTAATAGTAATTTGTTTTTCACTTGTTCCACTGTTGGTTTTGCAGAAGGTTTTAATTTGCCCTTAAGTCTACTTTGAAGAAGATTTATTAAAGAAATGCACATCTGACACACAGTGTTGTATCTCCAGATGTCCTAATGTGAATATGTTTTATCTGGCCTTAACAGTAAAATAAGTGTTCCATTTTATTTGTTCCCCAGCCACGGTGCATTATAATTACTTTACAGTGTGATCGCCTGAAAGAAATGAAAAATCTCATTTTTTTCTTTTCCTTTAAATCATTTCTTAAATCTCTGTATTGTGATAACATAGGCTACACTCGTAAAACAGATGTGTTAAAAACAACACATTCTGTCTCTACCTAGACACATCACTGTGTTCATTTGGAGATGACACATTTTGTATTATTTTTAACACAGAATGCGTTAAATCAGAAAACGATATGACAAAAAATGTTAAAACAGGTAACACAAGTAAATGTGTTGTTATTTAATACATTACTTTTTAGAGTGTATAAGTTTTGCGTTGTTGCACAAGACTGAAAAAGTAACTGTACAAATATGGGCCTGTTTCCAGAAAAAAAATGTTAACCTGTCACTCAAAGCATCCATCCACACTTTAGAGGAAAATGCAGGTTCTTAAGTGCACCTACTAAGGCTAATAAAGGCAGTAAACCGCAGGCTAACACGTGGAAGTCTGATGCATACATCGCTATGCATTTGAAAGGCATCAAACTGAAGAATATAGTTTCCAGAACACCAGCAGTGACCAATTCAGGTTCTAGCGAGATGAAGTCCTCTACAGTTTGATGATTTCTCTGCTGTGCTGGACTAAACTGTGCTGGACTCGTCTCCGCTCTTCTGCATGACCAGAAGAGAAACATCATCATCTCAGTGGAATCAATCAACAGTCCTGTTTAAATAGCTTGTTGCCTCAGCTGTGTGAGGAGGCCTTCATCAGCACCATATTTAGTAAGCGTGAATAAATGTGTGTGTGTGAATGTACGCAGGGTGAGGTCAAAGGCCTACTTCATAAAATAAGCGTTTAGTTCAGTGTTGTTATTGTTATTGAATGAACCAGACGGTCTACTATTGTGATTAGTCAGATATTTGTGTACAAGGTAAATTTCACCATTTTTATTGATCATTATTATAGGACTCATGCTGTTTGGACTATGCAGTTTGTTATTAATGCACATATAGAGGAAGAAACATTGCATAATAATTTATGCACTTATACTTATGCATTTATATACTGAATCAGGGCCTGGAAGGGAGTAATGCTTTTCAAGACATTGGGTTGTTATTTATGGGACAGACTGATGCAACATCAGTTGTGGTAGTTCTACATTTGTAGGATTCCTTAAGTTAGAGCATTTAACACAAACATAAAGCATTTCTTAAAATGTGTATATTTAAAAAATCTGGAAAATATCTCCGTTTAGTGTTCTTCAGTTCACATCTATGGGCTCTACAATGCGTATTAAAGGCTGTATAATCCACCCTATATTCCCTACAGTTCTCCTAAAGTCAGCAGCACAGCAGAAATGATTTGAACAGCTCATTCGTCAGAAGTAATTCTTCAGTGCTGCACTCTATACCGACATACAGGAGAGCAGTGGCAGTGATTGTGGAGGGGAAATCTCAATCAGCGTTCAAGTGGTGTCCTCACAACTACTGTTAGTTTATGCGCATGCCGGCCAGTTAAACTGACAGAGGCCTAGAAGCCAAGTTCCACAAACACCAAAAATGAGCTGCTACATGCACTCTCCACACAAAGAAAACATTACAGCTCTCACTGAGTGACTTGAACCTTTTCCCTGACATTCCAAGTGTATGCCTCAACCAGATTTACAAATGTACAGCACAAAAGGACGGCAGAGAGAAAAATGACCAAGGTCAATTTTGAAATTATAGATTTTTAAATAAAAGTATATAAATTATAAAATTAACAATATTGCAGTATGTCATCAAACAAGATAATTATGGTTTATCAAGCTTTTAGAATCTGCCATATATAACTGCTGATAAACAAACCTATATTAAACACTTGAAGATATATTATTTTTTTCTGATAACAGGTGTTGTTATATCATGTACACTCTTGATTGTCTATTAATATAATTACTCAGTATTTAGAATTAAATGCAAAACTATTGCCATCAGTTTTCCATTTTAGGAACAGCTTCCACAGTCAGAGAAACATAAAAACGTGAAAGAACACATGTGGTACAGAAGCCTATTAGAGTACTTCTGTTCTTTTTTATAGAGATTACGTTCTCTCTGCAGTTAAACCTACTTCATTAAAAAATACACTGAATTAAAATGTGTTGCATTAAGACTTTACATTATTTTAAGACTGTTTTCTCTCAGCATCTTCATAGGTGCTGCATTGGTGTGGTGTTCTCCTTTACAGTCCTTGTCATTATTTTTTACAGTAAGCCTCATTTTCTGCTCTCTAAAAAGTGCAGAGATGAAACAGATGGTTTGTAAAGTGAAACATGCGAACAGTAAGATGCCCACACAGAGTTATAGTCTGGCCTTTGCTCCCGGCTCTAGTCAAAATAATTGCTTCTGTGCGTGTCAGCCAACACCTACAAAAGTCTCTCGCGCAAAAACACTGCTCCACATTTCCGAGCAGTGGGAGACTAATTTTCCAAAAACGCTACTACAAACCAGACTGAAAACCCTGCAGTCTGGGAGAATTTATTACTATTTGTTTAACACTGAATGGAAAAGTAACATTCCGTAATGCTTGTCTTTCAGGCAGTTTCTTCAATGATAGGCAATTTAATTTGTAAAATAAGTAAAGCAATAATAATTATAATAAGATTAAGATTAATATTAATATTAATATAAAGATGCATTTATTGGTGCTTATTTGAGTAAAAATAAATTTAAAAAAATCTCTTACAGCTTATTAAATAAACAAATAATAAAAAAAATGAAAACCACAGATTCAGATTAAGCCTATTCCTAGATGAAAGGATTTCCAATGGTGAGTCACCATTGTCACCTGCAGTTTAGTCCAAGACTAGGCTTAATTCATGTTCCTTAACCTGGCCCATAATGTTGATTATGTATCCACCTAAAAAATGCAATGCATAAACAAGTCTTTCTTTAAAAACCTTTCATTACAATTTTTAGAAAGTCGGTTAAAATCAGGTATTTCTCCACCCCTTACCTGAGCTATCACTCCTCCGCTTGCCGTTTCTCTTTTCTGCCTCAGCTGGAGAAAGTGTCTGACGCCCGAAATCTCCACCGGGCAGGCAGGAGGCCCCGGAAGGCACGGCTCCGACCAGGCTGGGTGTGCTGGCACACAGGCTGGGGCCTCCAGGGGCCATGTCTGAGGAGCCAGAATCAGGGGCCGCCATACCCAGGCCCAGGCGTGCGCTGGCCGACGATACACTGGGCATTTGCGGGATGTGCCAGCCGGTCTGCTGTGGCGGAGGGTGATGCTGCTGGGTGACTGGAGGTCCACGCTGGTGCCCGTGAGCCCCGAACAGGCCATCCTGACCTGGATAACCGCTCACAATGCAGGAGGATGAGGAGGAGGAAGAGGAAAGGTCGGAGTAAGAGAGGTGCTCGGAGCGTCCATGCAGAGCAAAGGCCGGGTGCAGGGCCTGAGGAGGGGCATGAGGGCCGCGCAGGCAGCCGAACAGACTGTGATCCATTGCATGCAAAACCAGACTTTATTTCTTCATGCAAAATCACAAAAAAGCCCCTCCTAAATAAGAGTTAAATAAATTCCCCAAAACAAAACAAGTTCCCTTCTTCTCACTTCATAAAAGGTGTCCTGAAAAGTAACACGAATATTAAGCGCACAGGGTAAATCTGTCACTAGAGCCTTTTCAAATAAAAAAAAAACAAAAAAAAAAACTAAAGCTTACAGACTGCTCAGCAATCAAACAAATTTTGTGCACTTTGTACGATTTACAATGTTAAAAAATACTGATATTGAAAAGTAGACTCCTAAAAATGCACTGAAAACACAGACAGACCCAAAGTCTTTCTTCTTTCAAAGTCAAATCCCAGACAAGAAAAACTTTCAACCAAAAAAAAGTTTTCCTCTGACTTCATAAAAAATATGACAAAAAAGGAAAAAAAGTGTTTGGATCTACATATGTGTGTGTGTGTGTTTGCCCCTGTGAGTCTGCATGCCCCAGTGTGTATGTGATAATCCAGAGCGTGCGGCGGGTGAGAGCTGTGAGGCGGCGCTGGGTAAACAGCAGCAGCAGCTGAGGATTGTATGAGAACAGAATGTCGGCTGGCGAGCTGAAGCGGAGTGCGGAGCGGAGCAGGACGGGAGGGGAAGGTGCTTCCTCACAGTGCCCGGGGCTGGGGCTATGGGCTATGGGCTGTGGCTTAGAGCTGCACGCTGGGAGGGGAGTGTATGGACGGGTGGGGGGGGTGTTGGGGGTGTTATAAATAGAGCTGTAATGTGAGAGGGAGGCTGGGTCATGGAGCCCATGCTACTACTAACTGACCACATACACACCATCGGCTCAGAGCAACTCTACAGAGTGGGCCATGAGAATGGCCACAGCTCAGACAAAGATCCATTCTAGACTGTGTGATCTGATTCTCATCATCTGTACCAATAGATGAGACACTGTTAATTTATTTTGCCTTTTTTTTTGCTATTTTTTCCCCTTTAGGGGTCCAAGCACTGCAGGTGGAACCTGTTTCTTTTTGTTCTAATTATTTCTTCTTCTTCTTTTTCTTCTTCTTCTTCTTCTTCTTCTCTAAAACTATAGTATTCTTTTGGTGTCATTTGGATCTTAAAGAAAACATGAAATTAGCTAAGGAGGGCATGGATGCATATTTTAATCTGGTACAAAGGAGTCAATATTCCTCAGAATTATTCTTCATTTTAGGGAATAGAAGGCAGGGATATGGCCTGAGCCCTTTCTTGTATTCAAAATGATTACTGAAACTATCAAGACTGGAAAATTAGTGCAGGATATGACTAAACAACCTGACATTTTGTGACGTTTACCACTATTACAAGCATATAGAGACAGTCTCTCAGCTTATAGCTACATGCGTGTATAATCTTTACTGTTTATTGCTATAATTGATCTTATGTTGATAGCACTAATCTGTAGTTTTCACACATTTGTTGAATATTTTCAGCCATTGCTGATCAAAATATTATTGATTATTCTGTAATTATTGGCAACTGTAAAGTGTTTGTGTGAGATACTGAACTACACAACCAACTAGTGTTATATGACTGTGAGCCAAGCTGGCTGTATTAATATATACTTTTAATGGAACTGAAGCCATTTGTAATGAACCAAGGCACCCGTGCTGTTTGTACAAATGCAAGGATGTTTACCAACCTGCTGAATTTAACCCCTAAACACTAAGGGCCTGTAAATGAGCCCACACTTCAGTTCCTCACTCACATAACTGTATCACTTACATGTTGTTATTACTAAATATTTATAGTAATTACTGTATAATAAGATGTAGTAACTGAATGTAATTCTGTAGAGTTTGATTACATACATGACAGTGTGAAGGTGAATGTGATCTCACAAACCGATGTTTTCATGTATCAGTATCCCTAAAGCACTAGTACTGTTTAATGCACAGCACTGTGCAAAGGTCAGAGACCACCCTTCATTTATCAGCATCAGGAAAAAATGCAGAAAACATATTTAACAGAAAATTACACTGAAGCCTCAGGGATGTTTTTTTCATGCCTCCAAAGTTCAGTCTTTGGTTGCATTTTCTGCTTCTTATGATCCAAGGAATCCCAAACATATTTATTGATGTTGAGGTCTGGCCAGGCCAATGATTTCCAAACGTCTTTGTCTTCTCACAGTGGAAGGATGGACAGAAACACCTGTGGATATTTTCTGATCTGAAGGAAAAAAGTGGAGTCTGATTTTCTCCTCACTCTCAAAGATGAATGTACTGTTTATCTGATGGTGGGAGTTTTGGTGGTCTACCAGGTCTTGCATGGTTATTAAGAGTCCCATTTTCTCTATATCTTTTAATCATTTTTTTGAACTCCAGGTTTGGAAAGTCCTGTTTTTTCACTTGTGCAAGTGGATCATTTAATATCTATTCCCCTTAGAAACATGTCCTGAAAAATAAATAACTTACATTAAGCCACTGAGGCTGGAAATTACATAAATGAAGGGTGATCTCTGACTTTTGCACAGTACTGCATTTGTCATTTTTTTCTTCTTAGATTTGTTTGATTTATTTTATGATTTGAAATAAATGTCGTCATCAGAGTCATTCCACATGACCATATGGCAATAATTCTGCATGTGTCCCTAAACACAAAGTGTCTTAATAGCATACAGTGGCATCCCCCATTGACAGCATCACCCGGCCACAGCAAAGGGACTGAGGCCTGTTCTGCCCGTGAGAGAGAGGAAATAAAAGGCAGCACTGGGGGAAATGGCTTTAACAGACAGTTGAGGGGGAGATACAAGCCTGAACTGCAGGAAGAAGAAGAAAAGAGGAGAAAAGAAACGAGGGAAGACCATCATTCTCATCACACACTCGGAACGATGTGCCACATAAAACACAGCTAAGGTGAGTGCTTGTACAATTCTGTTTGTTTTCTTTGTTAACTGTGATAGAGGACACACAGTACATGCAGATTAGACTCGTGTATGAGAAATTGCTCTCTTGTGAAGGGTAATTCTACGGCTTGAGGGTGTCTGTTAAGTCAGTGCACTCTGTGGGCCTAGACACGGGCCTACGGCACCACCTTATTGCTCTCAGCATGAAGTCAGCTGAACTAATGTGACCTGCAGTGTGATGTCTTTCGCATGATAAGCTGGAAATGGGTGAGAAAGAGACAGAAAGAGAGAGAAAAAGAAAGGGAAACATTTTTGTATATCAATCATCCACGTGAATGAAAGTAATGTTGGGGAAGATACTCCTAGTACCCAAAACTGAATGCTAATTTGGAGCATTTCTATTGGTCCATTCATCATGAAATTTTCACACAATGTAAAGGACACTGTTGTGATATAGAAATACGAAAAAATGGAGTTTTTTTTTTTTTGGGCACAGGAATGATATGTGTTTGGCTAAGGCCAAAGAAATAAGTGGGGATAGTGTGTGCAAGTTTTTGTTAAAGCACCAGTTTGTGTGTAATTTTAGAAGATACTATATAGTACTGTGCAAAAGACTCAGGTAAATGAGAAAACGGGATGCTGTTTATCTGGGCAGGGAGCATTAACGTCCACTCAAATAAATAAAAATAAACAAATAAACAACTCATTGTGATTTTGAACCGCTCTTTGTGGAAGCGCAGTATTTACAGTTGCCCTTCAACTCCTGCCATTAATTCTTAATCAAATGAAATCAGGTGTGATGCTGATATAAATTTACAAATGCATCTAATAGCTGAAGTGCAACAAGAAGTCAGGAACTAAACCTGTTTTCTTTTGTGTTCTTCTAATCAACACTTTGTAAAACAAGTCCTATTACGTTTTTTACTTAAAAAAGGAGGGGGGGTGATTTTGGAAAGGTAGTTATCAGGCTGCCTTAAAATTTTAGTTAATTAAACTTTAAATAGTAAGCTAACAAAAAAAATTGGTTATTATTTGAAGTTTAAATAACTCAAAACTTTAACACAGCCTAATAAGATACATTTAATTTTTTAACAGTATACTGTAATTATAGATTTTTTTTATTGTTATATTGTGTTTTCACCAGCAAAACCACATTTACTACTGAGATAACTACTTTTAAACAATTTTTTTAGTTGCCAAGGACTTTTGGTATAGTATTGTACATAAATTTACAATATTTATCATATTGTCTGGCACTGAGCACATGAACTGCACACAGACTTAAGTATATGTAAAAACAGACATAAAGAAGAACTTTGATTCATCACCAATAAATCAAAACAAATGTATATAGCTTTGACTTTAGGGCATGAGCATGTCTGGAAAAGCTAGCATTAGAAATGAAGTGCATATTACGCTTTGTCTTGAAAGGATAATTAGATCATTTAAAAAAGGGGGTATTGTGTGTTCTGTGCGTGCTAAGTTAACACAGCACAGCGTAGTTCACTGTCATGTCAACTTTTGCAAGGCACTCAATAACGGAGGATGAAATGGAAAGCAGGCTTAGTGAAGAGAGGGCGCTGAACGCTGATGTTCCTTCACTGATCTTCACTGAAAAGAAGTAACACTATAGCAAATAAACCTCACTGTCTGCTTTCACTCTACAAATAGATGCGGCTCTTCATCACATATGGATATTGATGATGAAAGTTTCCACATAATCACAATACGCAAGCCACTATCTTTCATTATGCTACTATTAACTATTGTCGCTAGCCTTCATGTTTAAATACCTACATCATAATAAAAGCATTATAGCACCCTTTTGAAGTGGCACATTTTAAGACTGCAACAAATAAAACTAATTGTGAGTGAATTGTGCTTACTCACTTGTAAAATTTCCTGTGGAGGCTTTTAAGACCTACATCACATTTTAGACTTGCATTATGTCACAGTGAGTTTATGAACTACTGATTCATAATCAGTACAGCACAATAGCAGTATATTCAATTTATGGACTATCACAGGGTGAATATCAGTCTGCAGTCAGATATATTAATCCTCTTCTAATGTGTAATACAGCCTGTAAAACAAAAGATAATTTCTATATATATATGAAATTCTTTGGCGAGTCTGAATAATTTACAAACTTTGTATTATGTAACACATGATCACAGTCTGTCAAATGTGGCTTGAGATCATTCATTATTGCGCTCCAACTGAGACTCACAAGTGACTTGTGATCACTTTGTCAAAACGCTTTGAAAAGTGATGAGCTATCCTGATCCTGTCTTGTTTTAATCATAAAAATAGCATCACCACATCAGTTAAGCTCAAACTCTTTTATGTCATCCAGACTTGATCTGACAACCACACTGCGGATGAAGATCTGATGGATTATAACAGTAAACATGTAGCTGTTATTATTAGGGATTTGTAATAATGTACATATAAAAATTGCTTTTTATACTGCGACTAAACAATTTGATGCCCATTTTCCAGATGTCAAATGTTCTGCCCCATTCTACACTACAACAGTAAAAACAGAATAGCTGTTTACATCATTTTTGCAAACCTATTCAGCGTTTTTACATGTAGCTCAGTAACTGACTTTAAATCTTTACCTTCGTCTGTAAATGCCACACCAATATATGAATACATTAGCAGAGATTATAATTGTATTATTATTTTCTATTTTATGATCTGCATGTTTTTTAAACCTCTAGATATTCATCTTAATTTGTTTTTGGCTGAGACTCATTTTGATTATACATTACAAATCACTGAGGTCATAACAAAACTCTCCAAAATGGCAAGTTTTCAGGAAAAGGAAAAAAAAAATTCTTAACTTATAA